AGTGGAATGAAAGTAGCGAGAAAGTTTTGAGCGCTGCACATCAGTGCTAGAGTACACAGAGAGGCCCGTTGGAGCATAGGGTCCCGGTGCCAGAGAAGATTCTAGAAGCCACAACTCTACCCCAGTGTTTCGCAGAGATGAGAACGAAATCCCCATGGATTTGGCCTTTGGACTGAGCCCTGCTTCTGAAAACCCTTCGCACTGAAAGTCTGGTTTGTCAACCCAGCGTGCAGTCCATCGCTTCTGGCTTGCTGCTTGCTTGGAGGAGCTCACACCCTGGAGAACTGAAACCCAGGCTGATTCCTGGTTGGCGAGGGAGGGCAAGAAGGTGGGGTTCCCAGGCCTAGGCTCAGGGGCTTTCCCACCTAGCTCAGTGGCGCCCTCTCTGGGCACTGGTGGAGAATCTCTTGGGCAGGAAGCGTGTTGCTTTTCCAAACCCACGGCTGGCGCAGAGCCAAGGGACCAAACTCACAAAACAGCTTGGAGCCACAGGGATCAGATATGCATAGGCTTCTTGACTCTGCCAATTTCCTGGGAGGTGCTGGGGATTTCCCCCATTCACTGGTAGAACTGTTTTCGTCCCTAAATTTCAGAGAAAGAAAATGATCCGTTGTTACCTGTGGAAAGGTTATTTTCCCTTGTTGTGGGGTGGTGGGGAGTCACGGAAGAGTACCAAGCCAAAGTGAGTAAGAGTACTGACCAGAGTAAGGGACGGCAAGGTTGGAACAAGACCGGTGGGAGGAGACAGGTGAGTATCTGGTGAGGGAAGAGAGTGGTTGGGCTGGGGTCATGGCAGGGGCGGAGTTCTGAGACGCCCAAGTGGTCAAAGCAGTGAGGCTTGCCGTTGGTCCATTGATTGGGTAGGGAGGACGAGAGGGAGGCTTGATAAGGGTGACTCACCGGGCTGTCCTTGTGCAACTGGGCGGAGGCGGCGCTGTGCTCAGGAGGGGACGGGGGAGGAGACAGCCACGGCTTTGAGAAATGAGATAATGAGTTCCAAAATTCAGGAGTTGGGCAACCAAATTGAGCAAAATTGAGTGGGGGCAGGTGACGGTTCTGTGTATAGATGGAGAAATGCAAAGCTTCACATACAGCTAGAGCACATTCGAAGGGAACGTTGAACAGAGTTGCTCATTACAGAAGAGGGAGGTAAAGGATCACTGCTTCCGACTCCGTACGTCATGTCTCGGGAATGATGGAGTGATGCATTAGGTTTTCTCTGTCACTTTCACAGAGTTCCCGGGGATTGATCAGAGATGTCCTTATTAACTCATCAAGGGAAACAGTCCACCATGCTTGCTTTTTGATCGGGACTGAAGTAAATAATTTTTCCTAAGGATTTTACAAAAATGGGAGAAAAAAAAGAGAGATGCTCTTTCTTTTTTTCTTTTCTTTTGGGTGTGTGTGTGTGTGTGTGTGTGTGTGTGTGTTAAATCCCTTTTTCCAGAATGGCCTTGTGCTGGGCAGCCCCTATCATAAAGCTGGGAGTGTGTGGGGCAAAGAAGGCCCTGAAGTGTTGAAAGGACATGAAGATTTTCCATCTCCACTGAGAGCTGTGAGGAGCAGGCTTATAAGAATTTCAGATTGACAAAAAAAAAGGCTTTTGTAGGGGCAGATGTGGAACGCAAGTTGTGGAGCTGCATTCTGGAAAGATCCAAGGGAATAAGGGGACAGCCTCCATCTGCAGACTTCCACGGGAGGCCTCCAGGGATCCTTGGCAAGAGGTGCCCGGGGAACCATTAAAAGGAAAGTCCCATCTCTGGGTCTTAGTTTCTCTTTCTTCCTGTCAAACCCCAGGCCCACACAGAATGGAACCCCTCTTCTCGCAAATCCCCTGGGGCAGTTTAAAGGACGAGGCAGTGAGACTGAAATTCTAGCCCCAGTTCAGTGTCTGCCCCTCAGTAACCTCGGGCTAGCCTTCTGGGGGCCTCGGGTTCCTCATCTTCGAGATGCATGCAGAGTCCGTCATGAAGCTTGGGGGATTAAAGGGGATGGTGTGTGCCCGGCACACAGGAAGCCCTCAGTGAAAGCCGGACGTGGCCATTACCCCGCCTCTCGCGCTGGAAGAACGCGTTGCCTAATGCTGAACGTCTCTTCAAAGCAAAAGCTGTGGTGCTGTCAGTGATTGTTATTAATAAAAGGTTCATAATTACTTTTGCCATGGTATTAAATGAAAGCCCCTGTGGTGGGTGATGACTAGGAAGGTGGGAGCTGTTATTAATGGACCTGCCAGCTCCCGTTACTGGGTCCAGTGCTGTAATCTTTCTCTCTGGGAACCCTTTGACAAATCTGCTGAATTTCCTATTCCCTTGCCATAAGTGCTGTAAATTTGATCCACTTGTCCCCAGCGTTGTTTCTGTAGATTAATAATGAAGAAGGGAGGGGAGCAGAGCCGGCGCAGGACCCGTAGATGTGTGGAAACTCCCAAATGTTTGGGCTGTCTATGGGTTGGAGTGTGTGAGTGTGCGTGTGTGTGTCTATGGGTTGGAGCGTGTGTGTGTGTGTGTGTATGGGTTGGAGCATGTGTGCGTGTGTGTCTGTGGGTTGGAGCGTGTGTGCGTGCATGTGTGTGTGTGTCTATGGGTTGGAGCGTGTGTGCGTGTGTGTGTGTGTATGGGTTGGAGCATGCGTGTGTGTGTGTCTGTGGGTTGGAGCGCGCACGCATGTGTGTGTGTGTGTCTGGGTTGGAGTGTGCGTGTGTTTGTGTGTGTGTCTATGGGTTGGAGCGTGCGTGTGTGTCTATGGGTTGGAGCGTGCGTGTGTGTCTGTGGGTTGGAGCGCGCGTGTGTGTGTGTGTGTCTGGGTTGGAGTGTGCGTGCGTGCGTGTGTGTGTGTATGGGTTGGAGCGTGCATGTGTGTGTGTGTCTATGGGTTCGAGCGTGTGTGTGTGTCTGGGTTGGAGTGTGCATGCGTGCGTGTGTGTCTGTGGGTTGGAGCGTGCATGCGTGCGTGTGTGTCTGTGGGTTGGAGCGTGCATGAGTGCGTGTGTGTCTGGGTTGGAGCGTGCGTGCGTGTGTGTGTGTCTCTGGGTTGGCACAGGTGTGTGTGTGTGCATGCACACGTGTGTATGGGTTGGAGTGTGCGTGTGTGCGTGCGTGTGTGTGTGTATGTGTGTGTTGGAGGGGAGCAAATTCTCTTTTGTTTTACTTGTTTTAATTCTCAGAGCCAGCTGTTCCTAATGTGTTTGGGTACTCAGCCTCAGGGAGAGTTTCTGCTTTGGGACACAGGGCCAGGGGGCAGGGGGAACCCCATCATGCCCTCCTCCTTCTCCCACTGGAAACAGTGCTCTGAGGAAGTGCTTTGATGCCCTGCCGTGCTGTGTGGGCACCAGATGGGAGGGGAGGGGCCGCCGCCATGCAGGAGGGGTGACGGGGGACTCGGGGGGGGGTCAGTGAGACAGCATGGAGGAGGCAGGCAGGCTGGGTCAGGGGGAGGCCAGGTGAGGAGGGCAGGGCAGACTGTCAGCAGAGCCATCAGAGAACACCGCCGGGGTCTGGGCAGGAGGAAGACTGCCGTGTGTGTTTGCCCCCCCCCATGGAACACAGTGGGGGGCTTCTTGGGTGAACTGGGCAGAGGTGAGACGGCCATAGGTGAGCCTTGGTGGGGTGCTCCTCGGATGTGGGCTTCCAAGAGGGGAGAAGTGTACCCATTTGAAAGGTCGCCGCATCCAGACTCGGCTCCTAGCTCTGCCACTAAGTTGAACAAGTTATTCAAACTCTTTGAACGTCAGTCCTCCAAGATCTAAGTTGGACACAGCAGTGCCTGCTTGTAGAAAGCGTAAATTCGTGGAGTAAATTAAGCTTCCATTCCCAGCACATAGCAGAAATAACAGCAACAGCTCCCAACAGAGCCCTTCCTCGGCGGCATACACTGGTGCAAGCATGGACATCCACAGCTCAGTTCGTCCTCACGGCCTCACTACGAACCAGGGGCTTGCCTTACCCTTAGCTATGGCGCAAGGAATCCGAGGCACAGAGAAGGGAAGCCACTGGCCCGAGATCACACCGCTGGTGCCAGAGCCAGAATCAGGAACCCAAACGTTCCGGCTCCAAGGCCCTGTCTTGACTGTTCTGCTTCACCTTCTCTGGCTGTCACCATCCTCATCACATTTCTGTGTGCAGGATAGGGAATTCTCACCCGGATTTGGCCACATCCCAGGGGTTCTCCAGCTATCTTAAGGAATTTTAAGAGATCTTCCCAAAAGTGACCGATTAAATTCCTGTGGGTATTTTTCTTTAAAAAAAAAAAAGTTCAGGGGGGTGTGGGACAAAGATGCATTGACTGAAGAAACGGCAGTTACTGAAAGCTGGGAATCTCTGTGGCCACGGGCTCTTAAGAGCCAACATGTAATTTTAAGTCAGTCTGATTTTGTTTTTCTGGTGCTTTCTAAGAAGCCACACAAATTTACAGGCTGTCACCCTCTGGGATTGATTCTGACAGCTCTGTCCCTCTGGCCCTGAAGTGCTAATGAAAAACACTAATTGGACTTGGCCAGTGGCTGCGATGCATCCCCTTTCTCTGTGGTTTGTTCTCGTCCCTTTCTTGGCAGGAAGAGGGAATGGGGAACAGCATGAGGCAGTGGGAGGACTCGGGGAGGGGGCGGTCCCACCCTTCAGGTGGGCACGGTGGGCATTCACATCCCCTGAGGTCCATGAAGGCAAAGCCAGGTCTCTTCGTCACCCCAGCGTCCTGAATGTCGCACAAGTCGTGGGCCGAGGGAGACGCTCTCAATAGTCAGTGAATGAAGAAGTGAAGGAATGAATGAATTCTTATATGGCCCAGGAGCTTGGGTAGGCCAGTTCCTTCTGCAGCTCCAAGAAACCACATCTACAAGTGGGCTGCTCCTCATTCTGGCTTCTGTAGAACTCAGATGTCCTCAAGTGCAGCTTTGACATTTGCCCACTGACTACAGCCCCCCCCACACCACCAGAAGCTGCAGGGCTGGGCCTGTGGACCTTTTCTTCCGTCCTGAACTTACCTGTCTGCCTGTTTCCCCACAGGTGTCCTCTCCCTCCCCGCGTATTTCAGTCCTTACAACGGTGGGTCCCTGGGCCACGACGAGCGAGCCGATGCCTATGCTCAGCTGGAGCTCCGGACCCTGGAGCAGTCCCTCCTGGCCACCTGTGTGGGAAGCATTTCAGAGCTGAGTAAGTGTGGTGCATCCCAGTCTAGCTGGCTCTAAGGGGGAGGTCGGGTAAGAGTTCACCTTCTAGATTCCGGCCTCCTCCTCCTCCACACTGTCTCTGAAAGCCAGATCCTTCTAGGCCAGAGATGGCAAACTGGTGGCCCACAAGCATGTATGGTTTGGTTGGCACATGGGCTGAATCATACGTAAATCTGGATCTCTGGTTTCTCTTGAAAAATCAGATGACCTAGTGCCTCTGCACCCCCTTCCTGCAGTGCAGTGATCAGGGGGAGCTAAGTAGCAGCAAAGTGGGCAGTATGTGTCCCCTACATTGTCATATAGCTTGGTGTTCTATAGCTGGCCCGATTCGTTCATTCATTTCACCTGCCTGGCCCACAGTGCTCTGCATTTACAACTGCTGTTCTTTCTTAAAGTGCCCCCGGAAATCTCAGTGCAGAAAATGGAAGATAAAAGCAGAGTGAAGTTAGTTGTGCTGGGGTGGCCTCAGCCCTGCAGTGGCCCTGGGCTTCTCCTGGCATCTCAGGGCCCTGCGGAACACAGTTGGAAACCCCTTAGGCTAGGGCATTACTGTTTGGCAACTGCTTCAAAAGAGTGTGTTAGGCAAGAAATCTCATGCATCTCCTGATATCTCTCTCTCTCTCTCTCTCTCATTGTCCCAGTTATTTAAGAAATGAGACTGCACACTCCTCCTCAGTTCTCCTATGTGGCCCCATGAGACCACCCAGTGGTGGGTGGGGACACACACAGGGGTCGAGGTGCATGGTGTGGAAACAGGTGCAGTTTCACTCTGCTCTAGCCCTTCCCATCCATGATTTCCTTGAGCTTTCTAAATGGTGAATGGCAACCCTTTTGTTTCTTCAGGACACTGCTTTCTCCCTCCCTCCCTCCTCCTCCTTCCCAGAGCAGGAAAGAAAGTGCCTGGTTCAAGGTCACAGAGCAGATGCATCATAGGGCTGGGAGAGAAGGCAGGACTTCTGGCTCTGTCTCCTGGAGGCGTCACAGAAGTCAGGGCTGGTGCCTGGCTGCCCCGGGGCCCTGTAGGAAGTGGGCTCAGGTATGTTTGGCTTAAGTGGTCACCCTTCTACTTGCTCGGGGCTATGGGCTTCCTAGACGTGGCTAGCAGCCTGGCCACCAGCATCTCAAGGAGCCGACATCAGGATTGGAGTCTGATCCTTTGCCTTTTACCATGGCCGCCTCTGTGCCCATGATAATCCACAGCTAGGCAAAGGGAGAACCATTCAGAAACTGTCCTCAAGGGAGGGACTTGTCATCATTCTGCCCTTATCATTCAGCCCCTATCGGTTCTACCTTCTAAAAATATCCCAAGTTTTAGTTTGCCCCTTTCGCCATCTCCACTCCTGTCAACTCAGCGCAGTCTAGGGCCATGTCAAACACAAATTGGATTGTGTCATTCATCTGCTCAATAACCCCTCCATCCTCCATGGCTTCCCAGCTCACTCAGTGAAATCTAAAATTCTCCCCATAGCCCAAAGTCCAGTATATGATCTGGCTTCATCACTTACTACTCTTCTCTTGTGGACCGTGCTCCCGCCACCCTGGCCTCCTGGCCAAGATCCTCCCTCCCCAGGGTCTTTGCACTGGCTCTTCCCTCTGCCTGTGACCATTTCCCCCGGATACCCAACTATGTTCATCCTTCATTTCATTTTCTTCAAGTCTCTGCCCAAATGATACCTTATTAGACAGGCCTTCCCTGAGCATCCCCTGTATAGATGAGCACCCCATTCTCATTACTCAGTCTCCACCCCCTTACAACCTTAGTTCATTCAAAGCACTGGTCACCACTTAAAATGTATCATATATTTACTTGTAAATAGTTTGTCATTTCTTTCCCCTGACAAAAATGTCAGCTTCATGAGAATAGACTTTCTGTTTTATTCCCTGCTGTACCATATTCCCACAATTAGAATAGTACATGATGCCGTGTGTGTGTGTGTAAAGGAATGAGTTCTGTATTGTCCAGTGTTTGCCTCCCAAAACCCACCTAAGATGGACCCACACCCTGGCCCAGCTCCTTGGGGCAAAGGAAAGAAGCATTCCCTTCGCATCTTTTTACAGATGACGGAACAGGCTGGATCATATGCCACGTTGACCCACCTCCCCACCCTGAAACCAGGGTTTTTGCTAACCCACAGTGAAGGAGGGAGGAGGCGAAGGTGGAGGCAGATAATGCAGATTTTCTCTCTGAGACTAAAGAACTTAATGAGGCTAGTGATACTTGGCACTCTGAGCTCCTTGTACCTAAAATTTACCATGGGTTTAACATTCATTAACTCCCTGCACCTAGCCAGGACCAGCCTGCCCGGTGGGTTTGGAAGTTTCTTTCTTGTATCAGGCCTGGCTGCACAGGGAATGTAGGCACTTGTATTTTTCCCTGTCCCTCTGTCCCCACAAAAAGGTAAATGGGAGGGAGTACGAGATAAACAAACCTAAGTATTTCTTTTTAAAGGTAGCCAGATGGCATAGGCCTCATTTGGAAGACAGAGTTACCTTGCAGATCTTGCCTGCTTTTATTTGATGGCTCATAATGAGGGTTGGAGAGATGAGGAGCCCGCAGCACCTCTCACTGAGGCTCTCCTGATTAGCCAGCAGTGCGGGCTTGCTTTTCTGTGCCTTGTGGGCATTTCTGGGCTTCAGACTGAGGTTTCATCGAGCTTGGGATCAGCTGATTCTCAAGTACAAGGACATTTCTGGAGCAGCTCTGAGCGCTCACCTGCATGAAAGCAAGAGTGCAGGCCAGTCTGGGCCATGACTTTTCAAGTCAGCTGTGGTGACGCACCCAGATGCTATGCCCCGACTCTGTTGCAGACTGAAATCTTCGTAAAATAGAATAGAAAACGCATGTCGAGAAACATGAAACCAAAGACATGTAAAAAGCAAGCCAGTTTTTAAAAAATTATTAAATCACTCTGTCAAATTGCCGTGAGACTTTTTTAAAGCTCACTCTCAGTTTCTAAAATTAGCTTATTTTGACCCAATCACAAACAGTAACAGTTTGCAGCCCTGTCCCAGTGCACAGACCACACTTTCATGGAGCCATGGCCCAGAGCATGCGTCTGAGATTCAGGGTCCCCAGGTCGAGTCCTGGCTGGTTCACTTACTAGTACAGCCGGGACAAATCATTTAACTTCTTTGAGCCTGTTTCCTCATTTGTAAAATGGAAATACCTTCCTCACGGGGAAGTTGTGGAGATTAGATGAGATCTAGTCTATTTTTCCCATCTCTGGAGCCTAGAAAATATGAGGTGGCAGGGAGGAAGCCCTCTAGGGAGAATACCCAAGGCGAGCGGTTGGCTTTGGCCGAAAGGGAGGGCTTCCGAGCGGTGTGAGTTTTTAGATGCGTGATCAGAGTTGTTTGCAGGCATCTGCTTCTTGGTCTCTGAGAGACTGATGGCACGCAGCTGGGCCTGGAGCGGAGCAGCTGGGGACCTGCGTCTCCAGTGGCCATCCTGCTGCCTTTGTGGTCCTCCCCCCGACCCCAAATCTTTGGAAGGCCTCTCTTTGTACTCCGCTTCCTTTTAGGGAATGTTTAAGAGTCGCTTCCATTTCTTCCTTGATTCTGGCTGGTAACGTGCTGCCAAAAGGGTTCTACACCAATAACAATAAAACAATCATAAACATAATTAATGATAATGGCTTCTCCCTTGTCAAACCTTTGAAGTGTTTCCACAAGGTCTCTCTTTGATGCTATCAGGGACTCTGACTTCTTGTGGTCCTGTGATGCTGCCAAAAGTTATGACATTTTGACCTGGAGAAATGGAAGCCAGGTTTCAGCTGATTGCATCCAACTTAGCTTTACAACTAGCTGGCATGAGGCGGGTTGGTCTGGGGGTTGTCGATGCCAGTTTCTGCCACCCAGGAGCCCGAGGGCAGGGCTGGGACCCGGCATCTCAGGGCTCAGACTCCTCCCATCCTGGGAAATGTGGGGCAAGGTTTGACTGCATGGAAAAGAATCCTGGAAGGAAGAGCAGCGTATAAGGTGGCCTGGAAGATAGAGGAATAATAGTAATAGGACATTAATGATAATGGTGTTATATTTCATCTTTACCAAGTACTCTGCCAAGCATGATGTTAAGAGTGTTTTACACTTACTTGAATCCTCACAATTTTGAGGTTAGATAGGTAGATTCCATTTTACAGATGAGGAAATGGAGGCTCTGATGAGAAACTTCTGTAAGGCATATGGTTGGAAATAGCAGAGCCCTGATTGGAAGCCAGGCATAGCTGACTCTGGAATCTGGGCTCTTGTCCATTAACCTGGCGATTCCGTAACCTCACTGCACATGAGATTCACCAAGGGAACTTCTACAAAAGAGGATGCCCAGACCAATTAAATCAGGCTTGGGGATGGGAGCCAGGGGTCCATAAGTCACGAGGTACCCAGGCAGCTGAGCTACAGTCACGGGGACAAGACAAGCAGAGTCAGGTGTGGAGAGACAAAGGGGAGTGGGGCGTGGAGGTCTCCAACGCCGGGGATGTCATTTTCCCTGCTCGGAAGCCAGACACTGTCGCTGAGGCTGTCCTAGGAGAACTTGGCCACTAATGGGCTCAAGTCAAGCTCCTCCAGAAGCTGTATTTTAAAATGAAATGGATGTGTAAGGCTATTTCATGATTCTGTAAATGTTTGGGGAGGGTGCCTATCATGCAGGAGACCCCGCGCAGGTGCTAGGGATGCAGGGGAGCAGAGAACCAGACTCACGGAGGCTGTATCATGAAGGTTAATTGAATAAATGACCTGGTTCTGCCACTCACTGAAGGCCCTTCACCAGATTAAAACCTCTTTTCTTTCGCCTTAGGGCCAGCCTTGTCCAGAGGCTTTCTCTGGAAGGGGCTATCTCTAAGGAACTGCCATGGCAGGGGGGAGAAGGGGGAGCTGGCCCCCAGGCAAGGCCCCCCTCAGTTCTCAGGCCTGAGGAGAATGGAAGGGTGCCACTCTTCCCAGAACAGAGGAGCCCGCAGGTGCCTGGGGCTGTGTGGCCCATCCTTTCTCAGCATTGTGGCCTCACACAATGATGGGACATTTCCTGTCCCAGGCCAGTGGGATATTGAAAAGACTTGACTTGGGCAGTAACACCGTGCAGGATATGAGGACCTGAGGACCCCACAGACTTCAGTGGGTCAGGCCTGGGTCACAGTTCAGTTCATGCCTGCATTCAAATCCAGAGCCTACCATTTACTAGCCACAGGACCTTGGCTGGTTAAGCTCTGTGCACCTTGGCCTCCCTGTGACCGGGGAAACGTAGGGGGTCAGTTAAGTGTTCGTTTACCAGATAAGCCTCAATTTCTTCACCTATAAAATGGGGTAATACTGGGCTCCAGTGTTAAAAGGATCAAATGAGAGCCCATTTCTGGGAAACCGAACACTCGGCACACACTGAGCACTCAGGGCTGGTGGCCACGTCGTCTAACCCGATGTGTTGGAGATGGGACCTGCCCTGCGGAGGCACCTGGGCTTTGGGCAGGATGGCCCGGGGAAGGGCCACTGCGCAGCCTGGCGCTGCATGTCAGAGGCCGGGGCTCCCTGGGTCAAAGGGCTGGGGAAAGGCCCGCGGGGTGGTGGAGGGAGTGGGGATGTCGAAAGAGAAACCACATTAGCATAAGTTCTGAAGGAGACCAGCCCTGCCAAGTCTGTAGCGTGGCTGTTCGGGCCAGCCTGGCAGGGAAAGGAAAACGAAATTGCTGGTGTGTGTCTCGGGTGACAGTCTCCACCTCTGCCTGCTGGCTCCGGGGGAAACAGTAATTCTGCGCCGCGGCCAGGGGAGCCACAGGAGCGTTGGGAGGATGGGGCTGGTGAACTCAGACTTCTTTTCTCTTCCGCCCTCCCCGCAGGTGACCTGGTGTCCCGCGCCATGCACCACATGCAGGGGCGCCGCCCGCTCTGCCCGGGCTCCAGCCCCGCCCGCCAGGCCCGCCAGCCGCCCCAGCCCATCACCTGGTCCCCTGATGCCCTCCACACGCTCTACTACTTCCTGCGCTGTCCACAGATGGAGTCCATGGAGAACCCCAACCTGGACCCCCCAAGGATGGCCCTGAACAACGAACGGTAGGGGTCTCCCCGGGGCTGCTCAGCGGGCGGGACGCGGCCAGCACAAGCCTGGCCCTGGCGTGCCGTTGTGCTGTTCACCCTGGGCGGGGGTGGCCCGGGGTCGTCGAGGCTCAGAATGGATTTGGGCTTCTGTCTCGGGTGCTCCAGCGCTGACGCTCACTTCCTGGGCTCTCTGACATTCAGTCACCCTTTTGATAAAAGCAGGTATTCACAGCTGCCGGGAAAGGTGCTAGTGAGAACTGAGCCAGTGCGGGCTCTGAGGAAACGCGCTCAGGACTGCGTCTGGGTGGAACGGGCCCTCCGTCGATGGTAGCTGTCACCTCCGGTGATTGTGGTGATGCCACTGTTTCCATTGTCGGCAGGGATCTAAGGCCTGCTCTGCCCTGCCCCGTCCGCTCAGGTTACGGACGAGAGCATCGTGGCTCTGGCAGGTTAGTGGTTGAATAGCCCCAGGACCCAGGCCTGCTGCTCTGTCTACAGAATCCTAACCCTTCCCTGGCTGAGAGCAGGGCTGCTAAAAACAGATGTGAAGGTTTTGCCCTGCACAGGGGGGCCCAGTGAGGGCCACGAGTGGGAGACAAACACAGGGTCATGTCAGCCTGAAGACCAGGTGCCTTTTCTAGTTGGTCTTACTCAGAGGGCTGCTGCCTTTTAAAATTTTTCTCCCTAGAGAGGATGCTTTTTTATAATTTGCCCAGAACATCATATATGCTAGCATGAGCCTCGCCTCATGGTTAACATGGCCACCCAGCAGGGTCTGTCCAGAGGCTCAAGAGTTGCATGCTTAAAGGTCCTGGGAGTAAGGAAGACGTGCCCTTGGTTTGGAAAGCACCATCGGCACGCATTCCAGCGCTCCACAGGCCCCGGAGAGGGAGCAAGCCTGAGGGGCTCTGTGCCACATGGTGGAGGAAGATGGCCTACAGCCTTGAAGAGCGAAGGCTACCGCTTTCCCAGGCCCCCCACCCCAGCTGGCCTGCTGCCTTGAAGAGGCACTGGGTCTCGTCAACTTTGCGGTCCTCACGCCTGCTCCCCAGCCAGGCCCGCTTCTCCGTTGCCCCCATGGTCACAGAAAACAAAGGTGCGGTGCACCGCAGCTCATTCAAAACGGCCATCATGAAAATATGGGAAATCCTGCGGACACCTGGCAAACGTTGCAGGCTGGGAATGCCGTGGCCCAGGAGTCAAGGGGTCTGGGTACAAACAGCGTTCATGGACCTTGAGAACTTTGTGCAAGGTTTCAGACCTCTCTGAGCCTCCACCTCCTCTGCTATAAACAGGGCGGTGGTAATGAAGCAGTTGTAAGGACTGAACTGTGATGGTCAACATTTCCTGAGTACTTACTAGGCGCTAGGCACCGTGCTGAGCACTTGGCATGTGTACCCACAGGGAATGCATGTGCTTCACAGCCCCATTTGACAGATGAGGAAGTGGAGGCAGAGAGACATTTGATAACTTGCCGAGGCCACGGAGGCTGTGCTCACAACCAGTACACATGCAGTACTGTGAGACAGGAGACATAAAGCAGCCGTGGCCCAGGGACACACATGTAGTAGGTTCCCAGTAAAGGCTGCAGCTGCTTGATGATAACCGTCTGGGAGATGGACAGCGGATGCAGGGCCCAGGTAAGTTACTCCGGGCCTGACCCCAAGCAAGAAGGCAGCGGGGGGAGGCTCCAGGCTTCCTGAAGGAAGCACCCGGCAGGAAGGTGGAACCAGAGCAGAGGCCCTAAGCCGCAGCTGTTTCTGCTTTGTGGAGAAATTGCTGTGGTTTCCAGAGTTGGCTGGGCGGGAGAAAGGGCAAGGAAAACCTGTGAAGGGTGCGGGGGACTCGCTGGTTGTTTGGTGAGGTCCCAAGGGTGCTAGGCGGGGCCTGATCACCCAAGCAAAGGTGTCTGGGAGAAGATGAGGAGCTTTCTTTGGGCCCACTGCCCTGGCCTGGGCCGCTTGGCCCTCTGGTGGTAACCATGGCCGTTGGCCGTGAGGCAGGCCAGGGAGGTGCTCCTCTGCAGCAGTCGTGCCCAGAACCCCTTGGCTGTCTCGGTGGCTGCCCTCTGGCCTTCCTCCTGGGAGAATTCCTGGCCCCAGTGCTCTACAGCACAGCAGCGGGGTTTCTGTATGAACTGGGCTGTTGTCTGGATGTGATCATAGTAGCTAAGCTTCAGTGGTAACGTGTGTGTGTGTGTGTGTGTGTGTCTAGATATCTCATTATTTAACATCCACGCTGTCTGTGGCACAAAAAAATTGGTAGCTAAGGCATTTTTCCATGAATCATTTCGAATGAATATTAGATACACGAGGAATTGGAACCACCATTAGGAAAAAAGTATCCAGACATTTCAGATTTGGGCACAAAAAGGAGGACACCCTAAAAATACCCAGGCTGGCAGACAGCCTGACAGCCGTGTGGTGGCCCGGCTCCTGGCTACTGAAAGGGGTCCTGCCATGCTTGGACTCCGTCAGATGGGGCAGGCCCTGGGGAGCCTGGCTGGCCCTTTCTGGGGGCCACCGAGCTCACGTTCCACGGCAGGCAAAACCACACGTCTCCTCAAGGCACCGCCACGCTGGTATCCTCACCAGAGCTCTGGGGAAACCTCCTCTCTGTACACACAAATAGCCGGACTTGGCTCCAGGGTGACAGAGCTTTGCTTTTGTGAGTCTGGGGATGGCTATCTGTCTCTTTCTGCCCCCTATACCCCCATTTCATTGACTCTTGAAGTTCCTCCCCCTGTCCCATGTGAGGAGTGTGGGGGCCAAGTGCACCCAGCCAGAATCCAGAGCCTCTGATTGCCGGCGTGATGGTGGAATGGGGTCCTGCAGGCCTCTGTTCAGGGAGTGGATGGCTTGGGGAGTTCTGGGTCTGTGGGGATTTAGTGATCTCTTCCCACTGCCTTGCTCACAGAGGCTAAGGAGCTCAGTTTGGTGGAATGGGTTTGGCCACATGGTAGCATTGATTGATGCCACCCAGGTCTGTGCTCAGAGATTTCTGCTTGGAGGAAATGGCCCTTCTTCCTTCCCACAGGAGGCCGTGTGACCCCATCCATGCTGATAAAGGGTGGGACATGCGTTCCTCTCTCTGTGTGAGGCTCATCACGGCCTTCCCTGCTAAGTCACGTGCTGCCTCTGCACTGCTCAGTTGGGCTTTAGTATCTCCCCGGGAGGGGCCATCTCCTCAGAGCCTCCTGCTCTGGGTGTGGGAGGGGAGGTGGTGGGAGGAAGGAGCTGCAGAAACAGTAGGAGTCCAGGGTAGGCAGGCGGGGTGGCTTTGCAAGGGACAGTTGGGCCCTCTAGCATACTTGTGTGTGCTGTCACAGTGAGCCAGCAGCGCTAGGGAAAGGAGCCCAGGCTTTGGCCCCAAGGCCTCGACCCTGGTCCAGCCTCCCGCACAGGCCCCTCCACGCTCCAGGCTCCTCACCTGTAAAGTGGGGAGGACAAAGTGCAGTACACACATAAGGTAGCCTTTCTACCTACCTTGTTTCTTTTGTGCCCCACAGATCAGCAAGGTAGGTGCTAGAATGACCTCCATTTTACAAATGAAGGCACGAGGCCGGAGGGGGCACCCAGCTGCTAAGTGCTGGGCAGGGATTTGAACCAGGTCTCTCCGACCTCAAAGCCCTTGCCCTTCACCGTGCCCAGCTGCAGCTGCCCCACCTGGCTGCTAAGCCCTGGTCCTCAAGCTCTCAAGGCTCCCCGGGTGGGTCTCCCAGGGCCATGCCGGCCCCACCTGCCTGTCCATTCCCAGCACCCGTCCCTTGCCACCCTGGGAGAGCCTCACAGATGGAACCTCCCTGTGCCCTCCCAGAGCACCTTTCCTGCCCGGCAGCTCTGCATCACAGGCACGGGCAAGGCACGAGGCAGGGTCTCAAACACAGGATTAGTCACAGCTGCTGCCCTGCAGGGCATGTCATCACCCGAGCCCAAGCTTGAAAAGTGAAAGAACTTGCTGTCAGAGATCCAGCGTTGCCCATGGAGATGGGGGAGCCTCCTTCCCCCTAGGTCTGGAGGAGAATGGACAGCCATCTGGCTAAGTGTGGTCCTTGCTAGTCGTGCCTGGAGGCGGTGGGATGAGCTAGCCGAAAGAGCATCCTGGGTGGAAGATACCTCCTTGGCCATCATCCTCCTGGGGACGAGGCGTCTGGGAAGAGGGGAGGAAGGCAGCATGGACACCCAGGAGCAGCAGGAGGTCTGCCAGCTCGCCAGCACATTGCTGGAGGAAAGCGTCATCAAGCAGAGCCTGTGAGGGAGACAGATAGTTCGTGGTGCAGAGAGGGCTGAGGCACACAGGAGGCGAACCAATTTTCTGCTTCAGAACCTCGGGCGCTGGAGGGCCCGGGCTCAGCAGGTGGCATTCCCAGGTGCATCTGATCTGATGGTAGCGGCAGCGGAGACTATCTGGGAATCCTAGGAATGACAGCAGGCCACTTGTCCACAGACCAGTGCGTTTGCTGGAGCCCGGGCCTCTCCCCGGCCCCGCCCGGTGCCCCTTACTGGCGGGAAGCACACTCAGAAGGCTTGCAGGCTGCCGAGGCCCAGGACGCTCAGCCAGGAGGAGCGTGGGAGCCGAGCCAGAGTGATGGGAGACAGAGCCTGGAAGTGTCCAGCATCATGACTTCCTAGCCTGCCAGAGCCCTGTCTGAGGAGGGGACTGTATTCAAACACGTGCCTTTCAGATCGGACTTAACACTTAATGATTTTAGAGCCTTTGGTCAGTAGGTTCCTCCAAAGCTCGGTTCTATAGACCACCAACACATCGTCCTTACGATCACTTGTAAGGTGCGAGGTCTAAATGAGCTCACATTCCTAATATTCTAGAACAGGACCTGGGACACAGTAAATGCCACATATGAGCTACTATGATGATTAACATGACCACTTGTACTGGGCAGAGGGAACAGTGTGCAGAGACCGCAAGGCGGGGGAGAATGGGGTCCCCAGCCAAGACAGACAGGAGCAGCGTGGTAGAGAAGAAGGAATCGGGGGGCGGGACGAAGCTGCAGGGAA